TCCTAGGGTGAGCAGAATCGAGCCTGTTGTCTTCTTGAATGAGGACAATTAATTTTAGAGGTCTTTCGTTGGAAGTTTCACATAAAAGATCCCTTGGCAGTTCTAAAATAAAAAATGAGTAGGCCCTTTGGGCTTAAGTCTAGACAAAATTCAAAATGAATTCCTATCTAAATAAATTGAAACTACTCTAGCCAGTATAAATATCAAGAGTACTTTTGAAAATAGCACATGACTGTCTGTCTGACAATGGATGGTTGTACGTTCTATGTAGATAAAACATCCATGTACATTAATTCAAATGTAGGCCTACTCCCTGTACTGTTGAAGGGATAAGAGAAGAAGAAGACTCAATTTACATCTTTTGGAGGACGCTTTTTAGTTTTAGTAAGAGTTTTACAGCACTTGCAAAACAATAAGGTCATATAAGTGCCGAAGATTAGAGGTGTTACAAGAGAGTAACATACACAAAAAAAGAAGGAGAGATAAGGATGATAGATGTTTGATAGGAAAGAAGGAGCAAACCACACCAGAGCACCCTTCAACCACCCACCAGAGGATGCTTGATTCAGTCCGCCCTATTTAAGATCAACAAAGGCAGTGTGGGAAAACATCCCTTCAGAAAGAGAAGGTATTATAATTATACCTTATAGAAAATATCTTCTTCTCCATGACTGGGAACCAAGCTCTTTTAGGCCTATATCTTTCGTGAGCAAAACGAAGACAAAAGGTGAACGACAACACCACAGGCATAGGTATATCGAGGCCAAACTAAAAGAGATCAAAAAGCCCAAGAACAGATCATAAATGATAAAGATCTTAGTTTTTCAAGGTACCAGCATATTCAAATAATCATAAGACTTACAGGGTAACAAGTGGGCTGCAAGAAAAAACCAATGAAAGAAGTTCTGCATTTTTCTCTCTTTCATGGATTATTGGTCCAGACGGAGAGAGCTGAAGCGGCCAATGCCGTTGATCATCTTAATTTTGTAGAACGAAGCAGATATAAATCATTTATGACACAATCAGCGAAAGAGAAGACTTGATAATATTCTTACCGTGATCACAAAGCTATGTGAATTTTCTGGGTTGATCCTCCTGGTAAGCAGCGAAAATTGTATGCACTTTCTTTCTTTCTTTTAAAAAAAAATTTTTTTTAAAAACAGATTTCAAGCCTTTTTTTTTTTAGTTAGTTAAATTTAGTTTCAGTCAAAGTTTTAAGGTATTTTCAAAACAAACAGGTCATATAAGAGTCAAATATTAAAAGTGTTACCAGAGAGTAACATACAAAGAAAAGAAGGAGGAGAGATAAAGACAATAGATGTATAGGAAAGAAGAAGGAAGCCACACCACAGCATCCACCAACCATCCACTCTGTAGAGTTGATTTCTCATCCTTTTTTTCCCCCTTGTTTTAAACTTGTCTAGGCCTACCAGTTTCACAGACAAGAGCAAAACATATAAGCGAGACACAAATAACTGGAAATCTCGGAAAAGAAATCGGAGAGTCAAAAGACATGAGGAGGCAGCACCCACCTTCAAAGGTCATGTCGTCGTGAGTGGGGCCGATACCACCTGATGTGATGACGTGGGTGAACTTTTTAGAGAACGTCGCCACTTCCTCCGCAATCACATCCACCTCATCACAGATTACAGACACCTAAAAAAACAAAACAAACAAACCAAAAACTGTCAAAAAGTTTCCATCTGTTTGATCTTGGGTAAGTCAACTATAATTGCAGAAAAATTATTAGACTGTAAGCAGACTCATTTTGCATAAAATAGAACAAGTACTCAAGAAACTGCTCAAGTGCTGTAAGCTCAGTCCATATCATGCTGGACAGCAACACAATTAATCCTGGTTCAAATCCATCAAATGGTATTCTTTACCCTTCCAGCCCCATGCGCGTATCTTTTCAGCAGCGCATGTACTACCCACCGTCCCAAGAGAGCGTATATTCTCAGTTTCCGGGGGTACTAAATTTGCGCATTTTTCTAAATTAGCGAACCTAATTAAACCGTAATTTTCATTATATTTGTTCATTTACCTTTAAGCAATGTTATCTGTTATAATCTAAACCTCAATACAAAGATACTACATCATTTTTTTGGAATGTACGTCTCTTTTTCTGAAATACTGCTGTATTGGCTGGGACAGGGGTTGGGGAAGGCAAAAAATGGCTGGGGTAGGAAGGGTTAAAATTGGGTCAGTTGGGGGGAACACCACCACTTCTGTTGGATATCAAAATACACACATGCTTCTACGTTGGTACAACCTTATTATGGCAATATTGGTGTTAAACTAATACCAACCGATATCGTTCAAATATTATATAATTAAGAGAAAATGTCTGTTACCTTCAGAGCGTAAATCACACTTACCTTTTGCACTTTGACTCCAAGCGAGAAGAGCTTTTTACAGATAAAATTTGAATTTGTGTCCAGAGTCTGGCCCTTCAGAATTTCATCTCCGATCACTGTGAAAAAGAAATAATATTTTCAGTTTATAATACGTAGTATCCAAGAACAAACAGACATGATGTTGTACACAATTTGTGAATAAAATATACGCTTTACAAATGACGACTGAAAAAGTTTTTTTGCCTTCTTCAACAAAATAGCAGGGCAATCTGTTTGAGCTGCGTTGGTCATGACCAATCTGGGTTATCTGTGAGATACTACATCCAAGCAGAAAAATGGATATCCTTCATAAAAATATTCCCAAAGGAGGGAATCAAACTCATAACATTTGAGTGTGTAACGGTGAAAAGCATGCTAATACACCAAAGTACACTTCATAATTGCAAAAAAAAAAAAAAGGACATATGATTAAAAACAAAATTTTTTAAAAACAAAAAAGCGATGCAATTTTGTTTTAAATCATGTTCATGACATTAAATCCATGAAATCCTTTTGAGAGAAAGTTAATGAATATAGAAGATAAAACAGCTTTATTTGACGTAAAATACAACATAGTACATGAACTTTGTTTCAATGAAAATTTTTTTTAAAAAGTGATCATCACTCATTAAGAGTATTTTGAAGATTGAGCAAGAAGTGCAGAGATGGAAACCTGAATTCATTGAGTTTTTATTGGCCTTTGTTTTTGTTAACATAAAAAAGTACCATGTATGTAAAAAAACATTTAACAACACCCTCAGACCCAACAAAACAGCTTGTCCTATAAGCAGCTACATATATACGACATGCGTATTTGAAATTTTTTTTTCTCTTTTCTCTAAAATCAACCTCTTAAATAACACTGAGTACTCAAAGTTGGGGTAAGAATAGCTTGAGTCACTGATGTAATGGCAGAGAATATAGTGATCATCATCATTGCCTTTCTAACCCAGGTACAGGCCACCAACAAACTAATACACGTGAGGTGTGCTGACAAAAAAATGAGTTAAAAATATATAATAAAAATCTCGGATTTTAGCCCTATGGACACAGAAAGATACATGAAATTTATAGTTTGGGTTTGTACAAATTTATTACATGAACTGATTAAAGACGTGTCTAACTTGAAGAAAAAATAAAATGGCATCCTTTAAAAATCTACAAATTTGAATTGTGTTTATTTTCGGTTGACATCTCCATTCATGGGTTGCCAGAAGTAACTCATTTTGTCAACATACCTCACATAATATATTTCAACTTTAAGGAATATGATGGTAGTGATGAAAGGGGGTGCATCAGACAAGGAAAAAGTATGATGTAAAAATGTGACGACAAAAAGCTAGCTCTACTACTTACCGATGATTCCAGCAGTGCTCTGTCCATCCATGGCATGAAAGTAACTCCTTCGAGGAGACGCCCTTGAGGCAGTCAGAGAAGACGAATCAGAAGGATTTGAGCCATTGTTTTCTGTCTCCTTACTAAAAGATGCAGAGTCGTTCCCTTTCTGCTCATTGCCATTGTCAGCCATTTTTGCTGTGGAAGACCCTTTGTTGTGGCTTCCACCGACACTTGCAGTAGAAAAGAAAGTTTGTCCAGAGAAATGCCTCGCAAGGGACTCCAGTCTGCGAAGGCTCCTTGCCCCACCTCTAGACATTCCTTTCAAATCCCAGCCTCCATTTGGTTGTTCCTTCAGTGGCTATGGAACAAAGATAAAGGACAATAAACGGTTTTAGCAAAATTCAGCCCATTAGGTGGCAAGGGACAGAAAAATGCCTTACTTTTACTTTACTTTACTTTTCCGATCCAGCGGCCATTTGGGTTCTAGCCCTTCGGTCTGTCGATATGGCAAAGAATTGACAGGTTTTAATCAGCTGTGCTTTGTCGCTGTATAGAGTGTTTCCGATGTCTGGGGAGGCAGGTAGGTAGGTGCTACGCAGGTCACAAAGTGCTGGGCAGTTAAAGAGATGGTGTGGTAATGCCTTAAAATATCTTTTTTTATATATTGAAAGGTTCACACAAGATGACACTTTGCACTACAAAGTTCTGGAGATCACTTTTCCCCACTTTAACCCTTCGTGACAAAGGGTCAGTTCATGCTGCACCTGGCAGAGTTTTGGATCTTCAGGGCACAGAGTAGCCCTAGATTTAGAGGTCAGTTTCCTATAATTAGACCAGGTATTCAATTACTACTAACCATAGGCCTATCTAAAGGGAAACATTTTCTTTCTAAGGAATAAATACTCTTGAATGCGAATCTGCAATTAATTTTATGTAATGCATCTAATAAAAGCAGGAAGCAGAATACAACTCATAACAAACGGCATTCGTCATCATGGTCCTTGCGCTTCACTAGGCATGACGAACGCATCTTGTGTAAAAAAAAATGTCGAACGGCCTTCGTCATAAAGGTCGCGAAGGAGTTAAAGCAAAAACATGATGCAATGTCATCTGCATTATCTTGAGACAGCATTCAAATTTAAAGTAACATTTCAGAAAAGGACCATTATTAGGAACACATCTTGCTAAATTTGTTTTCAAGCGAAATAAAAAAACAAACAAATCACCTGAGTGAGTGTGCTTGAACAAGTGACTTTTAAGTGCTAGATTAAATATATTTTTATAAAGAGGGCAAATGTTGTTGTTATCGATCCAGCAGGAATTCAGGCAAAACCAATTTGTCATGTAGTGGCACATTCTAAGAACGGATGAGGTGAAACGAATTGTGTAACTATAGATGATTGAAATTATAATACAGTCATGGCAAAGGACTACAAGTAGATAACCAATGTAATTTTGTGAAATTCAAAATCTTGGGTTCAACTTCGCGTGATATCTTGCTTTCACTCACAAAATTGGTTCACAATGAAATTACAGATGATCCCAGGCAAGCATAAATATATAGTCTGCCTTTTTCAAGACTACACTTCAAAGCAGAATGCAGAACTCAGAACAGAAAAAAAAGCAATCTCTCTCAGATTTGTGATTATGACTCATTGAGGGATTCCCACTTTGTTGTCATTCATGGTGTCAACAGGACAGTACGACGGCAGCCTGCCGACTCGGATTAATAGTAGATCTATTTTCTTTGCAACTTGCTGAACTGTTTGGTTCGGTTGTCAGTGATTGTGCAGCACCCTTCTTCCACACAGATTGATTCTGATGCTGTACACTACGTGTCGTAAACTGAGAAGAAGAAGAAGACTAAGAGTAGGCCTACGTCAATTTGGAAGGGCTACAAAAGCAAGTTCAAACAAAGTTCAATGACGCAGTGCAAATGACCCACTGTTTCGATCCGGATCCTTTCTTTTAAAGTTTTGTAAGCACAAGAAATTAAGCACTTACAAGAGATTGGACTCAATAGGACGCTGAGCTGCAAATGGACTATAAGGAAGGAGCTTTGAAACTGCCAGTGCAAACCGAGCGCTACGCAAAATCATAACTAGCCTCGATCTAGATCTATAGAATCACAATCAGATGACGCGGTGGGCATCCCCCTTGCGAGGTCAAACAAGATTGCTGTTACTAAAAATATTGGCAAATGGCGTCGAGTTGTCGTTCTCTTGTGTCTAGTTATCCGCTTGTGACATCTCTCTCTCTCTCTCCCTCTCTATAATGTTATTAAATGATTGTACTGTAGAACCATGCATTAATTATAATAAATGTCGGGAAGATACAGTGTGAAACTACAACTGAAGGTTGGAGGTCTCCTATCAACAATAAGTCGAGTCCATCGCCAGCCGCCAGCCAGATTATCTGATAGAATTAGAATAATCAGTAGGCTCAACCGCAGGCCTACACCTACACTGTATATCGATCAGGTTACTGCAGGTGCAGCTGTTACTACTCATCTCAGTGTCAAGAGTTTACTAATAAAAAACTCAGGAACATGTGAGGAACACAAACTGCTACATTAATACAATGTATAATAATGTAGACCTCGTCTTTCTTCAGAGCACCTTACCACACAAAACAGACAGAGTAGAAACTTGCATCAAGTTCATCGGTCATTGAGTTATGAGTTATGACCCTTGACCGGTGTGTTATGGAAATTCCCGATTCTTGTACTTCCGGATCCATCGGCAAAATTATGTTGGCAATAATAATCTTTAAAAAAGTAATTCAATTGTTCGTCAGAGCCAGTGCGTTATATTTCACACACACACACACAC